CCGGGAACGCCGGACCCCCTTCGCGTTTCGGGGGATCGAACAGGCGTGTCTCACCTTGTTCCTCCCCCCTCTCCCCCCCCCGCAGTGCAGAGGGGGTCCGGCGTTCTGGGAACGCCGGACCCCCTTTGCGCTTCGGGGGAGCGAGGGGTGCACAGGCTCGGTGTTGTGGCCATCGAGGGGATGGGACGGACCCCCTTCATCCCCCACAGCACAAAGGGGGTCCGGCGTTCCAGGAACGCCGGACCCCCTTCGTGCTATGTCCATCGTCGGATCGGATATCGGACCCCCGTCCTCCCCCGCGGCACAAAGGGGGTCCGACGTTCCCGTCCTCCCCCGCGGCACAAAGGGGGTCCGACGTTCCCGTCCTCCCCCGCCGCACAAAGGGGGTCCGACGTTCCGGGAACGCCGGACCCCCTTTGTGCTGTGGCCATCAAGGGGAGGGGACGGACCCACTTCTTCCCCCGCACCTCAAAGGGGGTCCGGCGTTCCCGGAACACCGGACCCCCTTGGTGCTATTGTCAGCGACGGGGAGGGAGGGGCCCCCTTACTCTCTCGCAGCACCGACATAGGTCCGGCGTTCCGGGAACGCCGGACCCCGCTCGGTGCTGCTAGAGGTAGGGGGAGGGAAGGACATGAAACGCCGCGGGGTTTCGTCGAGGAGGCGGGCGAGGGAGGGGTTCGGCCGACCACCGTGCCGACAGACACGTTGGTGGGGTCTCCTATTTTGGGGACGCCGGACGCGCACACACAACGGTCGTGGGGTACAGCGTTCTAGGAACTCCAGACCCGCTGCGTGGGGCGGTAGCGAAACTCCCGTGCCGCGACGAATGCTTCTTCATGTCACTTAGTGTTGTTTTCTTGTTGTCTTTTTCTGTGCGACCCTTGCCTGTCGTCGACAGCGCTTTCATGCTCAGTAGACCTTTGGTCCAATTCAACAGCCCGGCGGACCAACTCGCAACTTTCGTTATGCAATACAGGGAAGAGTTCGCGAGGCTGCCTGCTGCCCAGCAAGTTGACCGTGGTTTCGTGCCGATTGACGCCTCGTCTTCGTCGGTTGCGGGGCCCAAACGGCGCCAAGATCAGCCGGCCAGAGCGGTTGGAAAGAGGAAGCAATTGCCGACTGCCCCGTTTTCGTCGGCTGCGGTTGTCCAGGCTCTGCCCACTTCGGTTCCTCCCTCGGATCGACAAGGTCATGATGCGGCCGAGCAGTCCAGCGAGGCCACAGACTACGACGACGGAGCTGTGCGCTATCGGGCTGGTCCCCAGCATCGTTCACGGGGAGGTGCAGGTGCCTTCGATGACGAGGAATGCGAGGGCCAAGATGGGGAGGGCGGTGGTTGGGATGGGGAGGGCGGTGGTGAGGAGGGGGAGGTCGGTGGTGAGGAGGAGGAGGGCGGTGGTGAGGCGGACGACGGTAACGAAGGAGATGCTGAAGGTGAGGACGATGGCATGGATGAGGAGAGAGACGATGTTGGTGAGGAAGTCGAAGACAATCGCTCCTCCCAATTTCACTGTCGCCACCACAACGAATCGCAGGGGCATCGTGAGGACGACGCCTGCCACGTCGGTGACGCTGTCAATGCTGGTGGCCAGTGTGCAGCCTCCCGCGGAATGTCGCAGTCCTATGATCAGACGAAGGATAGGAGAGACGAATCTGGCTCACGGGGAAAGCGAAAGAGGGGAGAGGCGTCGACCTCTCCTGTGAGTCGAACAAAACAGGCGCGGGCCGACGCCGTCAATGAAGCTCGCGGAGCGTTGACGACATCACAGGAAGCGCGGGCTCCTCGAAAAACTGGTGGGGGGGGGCGAAGTGGCAGCCGCGGGGGCGGTCGCGGCGGCGGTAGGAAAGGCTCGCAGAGGTCCAGGGCACCTAAGCTGCGGGACTCGGGGGATGAGGGCGAGGGGGTGGGGCCTCGCATGCCCGAAGACATTGAAGAGCTGGCTCAGCACGCCGCGCCCGTGGACACGACACGATGTTTCTTCCTCGAATACGACGAACAAGGCTTCGCCAGGCAAGACGTCCAAATTGTTAACGTCGACGTTAATAGGATCAAACCCATTCCCCGTGGGAAGATCCTATTGAACCACCGTTCCTTGTCTGAGAACATTGTGAGAGGCATCGAGAGTGCCATAGGAAGCTCCATCAGTGCTGACCCGGGGGTGTGGGATAGACCTGACCTCGTTTTTGCGCCGGTTGACCCCAACATCATCGTCGGGGGGCAGGGAAGGCGAATCAGGCCGGACGAGTTCTTCCAAAGAGATTCTGCAGAGTTCGACCGGTACGCTGTCTGCGGTCAGCATACTGCCGAGGCCATGAAACGGTTGGTTGGAAAGGACTCCCCCACGGTCAAAGTCTACGGCCTCCGCACGTACTCTAAAGTGCGAGTCGTCTTTTTCGATGATGACCACACACACGGGTACTTCAATGTCTCCCTCTTCGACAACACACGGGAGAATCGCGCCATGATGTTATCCTTCCAGGACGTTGTGCGTGATATGCGGCAATGGTGGATCGACAACAACAGGATCGAGGCACCCAAAGCTAAGGTCAGCGAGAAGGATGTCGTCGCCGTTGCGCATCAGAAAACGTGGCAGAACTTCCTGAGGGCCTGCATGGGGAAGGCGTGGGACAAGGCGTTCGTGAAACAGGCACTCGACAACGAATACAACAAGGATTGGAGTAATAAACTTCGGGGGTACCTGAACCTCACCACGTCCACCCGCACGGTTTGGCCGCTGGTGGAGAAGTTCTTCGCGATGTTCGAGGAGGGTAAGCTGCCAATCGGCGATGACAAGATCCCACTTGAGATGCCGGGGAGGATGGAGGGGCGCCTGCCCGGCCCGTACACTGACGAGAACAAGGGACAACGGACTTTGTACCACTACATATATGCGAGAGATGGTCCCAAGGGCTCCACCGTGTCCTGGAAGGATTTGTGTCCTACGTACTTCAAGAACTTCGGGGACATGACATGCCGCGAGAGAGAAGTTGCGCTACTCCTGCTCATGTCGGGGAAAGTGGTGGGAACAAAAGTGAGAGTCACGCCTCCGAGGGTGAACACAGAGTGCCTCCTCGACATTATGCGCAAGGAGAGATACATGGTCCGCATGTTCAACTACGTCGTGTTTCACGCCGAGGGAAAAGAAGGGGACGAATGGAACGACGACTTCTTCATGTCGTACAAGGACCTGGAAGAGAGGTATGCTTCAAACGGGTTATACGCAGATGAATGAGAGAAGCAACGGCAGAAGCTGCATAGCAACTTAGTGAAGACGATCCCTCGACGACTTGGAGGAGTGGAGGAGGCGAGGCAAGGTGTGCGCTTGGGGCCGACAGAAGTGATGTACAAGGAGGATCCGTTTCACTTCAAGGTTTTTATATACACCACAATCGATAAGATCGATATGCTTCGAGCGGAGGTGAAACGGATCGCCTCCACTGCACGCCATCTTGTGTGGGACAAACTCAGCAGGCAGACCACATTGCTTCTTGTATGCATGCGGTCAAATGAGGTTATGGCGGCGCCCGTCGACATCGTCGCGGCCACATAAAAAATGGCATGCAGGGCCGCCATCGTGGACATCTCGGCCGCGAATTTCAATTGTGCATGGACCTCGCAGGACTTCGATGCATTGTAAGCAATGATGGCGAAGTGTTGTGGTCCAAATTGGGTCGTCTTCTTCTTTGCACCGCAGAATGTGCAAAGCGATATCTTGCGTCAATTGTACCGTTGGGAGAACATCGAGCTCATCCCCGGGTCATGGAAACGCGTGGACAGGCCGCCGAGCGACGTCACAAGGTATGGCAACATCGCTACGAGCAGTCGGGACCTGATAGCGATCGTGCTGCACGCTGAAGGAGGGGATCTGAAAAAAGTAACTGTCGCACCCCGACTTCACAACGATCTCACCGAAGTGCATGTTGAGGAGGAAAAGTTCGGGAAGTGTCTCGGAAAACACGGTGGCGTCGAGGGCGACGAAAGTGCCGCATATTCAATTTGGGAGCGAGAACCTGGCAAGTTGCGGAAGTTGTGCGGTTCATTCGTAGGAGAGGCGGAAGGTGTGCTTTTGCTGGGTAGGGCACACGCGGGTCTTGTATGGAAGTTATTGCTTGCAGATAATAATGTCATTGCCTGTGACAAGTCCGCCAAGGACATTGCATACTTGACAAAGTTCGTCGACTTACTTATTAAGGATGGGAGATTCGAGTGCCGCCTCGAGAAGCCGAGTGCCACACATCGCACGAACAGCGATATGTACCACAAGTTGGGACCGAAAAGACTGAAGGTGTGGGAATACCTGTTTCGCGATGCGCCGGATGGACGCCTTGATGGGGGATACATATATAGGAAAGCCAAGGTGACCGAGGCCCTCAAACATTATCACGGTGCTCTAACTGGCGCCTTCGAGACATTCGTTGCTCGATGCGAGATCTTGAGGTTTGATCTTCACAAAGGTAAACTAACGTTTAAGGACAATGCAGACCTCGCTAAATCGGGTGAAGGCTTTAACCCCGTTGACAGCGAGGAAGACACGTCGGACTCCGACCTCGAGATCGAAAAGGACACCAATGCAACCGGGTGGTGTGGGAAGTCCGCTGCCATGGAGCACAGCGTCAAGGGATATGGGCCGGGTCAATCAGAGGGATGCTCGAACCTGCCACCCGCGAACAGTGTGGCCTCGGGTGTGGACCGGGTTGTATGTACGCCTGTGGAAGATGACGAAGATGATGACCTTGATATTCCTGCTCAGCCAACGAAGCTGGCGCAAGGCGATCCGATTCCTCCCAGATTTTGTGCGGATGCAAACAATGTGTATTTCTTCGATGACAAATACGCCTGCACTAGTGAGGACAAGTGGGGCCATTATATCATTTAGCATGACGGCATTTTCGAGCCATGTATCCAAGGCGGGGAGTGGAAAATGGCGGTGAAGTATGTCTCGAAGGGTTGGAGACCGTTTCCCCGCATGGGAAAGGACAACAGGCTGAAGATGACGGAGCAATCAATACTATACCGCTATCGGAAAGAGAACCCCGGGGAGAGTGAAACATCCATCGCGGCAAAGGCGAAACAATTGTTCGACGCATTGGGAGCCACTCGGCAGTTAGAGTACTCACACAAGTTTTACGAGCTGCAGTCGAGCCCCTCGTACGGCAAGATTGACTGGAAGGTTGAGCGCACCGCCGCGCTCGAGAGCATGGACGTGGACTCCCGAGAAGATGCCGCCCCTGTGCCCGAGGTGGCCACAGGGAACACGATGGGTGAACAAAGGGAAGATGGCGGGATGACGTTCGGCGTGAAGCCTCCGTTGCCAGAGGTGGGGAACACGCCCGCAGGCAAAATCACCATCGGCCATCTCTGTCGCAATGGGGGATACATCACAAGGTGAAAAAGTGTCACTCGACAAGCCGGCGGATGCGGGCCCCACATACGGGAGTCTCCTCGCGACAGGTGCGGCGCTGGTAGGCACATCGGAGATGGTGTCAAAGTCCACTGCTGGGATGGGCGTCACGGGGATGTCGTTGCATCCGCCCACATGCACTAGCAAAGGTGACGCACACTGTACAACAACACCACAGGGAGGGGTCACAGGGGATGACTGGAATGGGGGAAATGCAGGGGGGTCTCCACGTTCTCGCAACATTGAGGACATGACTACGGACGATGAGGATGGGGTAGAAGGCGGAAAGGGCGTGAGCGATCCCACGCGTGCAGGAAATGAGGGGTGAGACAGGGAATGAACTTGAGGGGAATCCTCTTCGCGGGGAAATTTAATGTTTTCGTGTGTGTGCTCATTTGTTTGAAATCTGGGTTTGTGRGCGGAATTTGTTCCTGTGTACAATCGACCTRCAGACTCATTAGTGTTCAATTTCCGGGATTTGGCCTTTTAATTGTTGACAAGAAAATTGTGGGGTGAACAATAGTGTGTCGTAGTATGCGTGTGTGTCYCTCTATATTCRTCAATATGYTGCGTTGTGTAYATGCATGTATGCCGTTGGGGTACRRYGATGAAARGGGGCAGGAGTCAGGATTGATTGGTCCYGAAGTGTTGTCGTTCATCTAAGTGTAAGTTTAGCGAAACATTGATGACATATCTTGAATACATCATTTCCGTTTAGCATGTTATGCTAAGGCACTTRCCCATGTACAAGTATCTCAAATGGTCGTCCTCCCCGTTTTTTACACCGCCTGCCCACCCGTTTCTTACTTTCCTGTAAGGGCGACCATTTTTTACACCCCTGTCCGCCTCGGTCACCGTTGTTTACACCACCGTCGATGTCGTATTCGTCGTGTTTGTCGTGTGCAGTGCAAATTACAACAACCGATACAAGAAAGTGCAAAAGAGGGTGGACAATGCGCCTCGCAACATCGTCTTTATCAGAGAAGGAGATGAAAGCACTCTCACATGTATGCCGGGAGTACGGGAAAATATTCCTAATAGCGAGCACACACAATCATCGGACGAACGAAGTACTGAAGCTAACTGGAGATGAATTTATTTTACTAGTCGACGAGCGGAACTGGTTAAATGACAACGTCGTCAACTTCCACGTGAACCTCATTGCACTAGACAACTGATGTAGAATCACACACGTAGAATGCGACGCCGAGAACGAAACCGTGATTAGAACCGGAAAGGGTTGCATTCCTAGAATATCAGTGTTGAACTCGTTTTTCTTCGCCAGACTTTTCGACAACGAAATGAGATATCAAGAACGAGAGGTGCAACACTGGTCGAATGACATTATAATAAGTTACATGGACTTGATAATTGCCCCTTTCCATATCGCACACATGAACCACTGGACCCTCGTTGTGGCTGACTTCAGGAGAAGGAAATTTGAATTTTACGACTCCCTCAACCCGGACAAAGAACTGGCAGCCAAAGTGACCGGCGGATTTGCAAAGTTTTTGTTTAAAAGATCGATTCAGCAAGGCAAATAGGTGGACACGAAACCGTTTGATCACATATGGACCGTAGAGGGCGTCCCGAAACAACGTGACACTAGCTCGTGTGGGGTCTTCATGCTCGCATACGCATCGCTATTGGCAAGGGGTCACCTTCCGCCTTTCTCTTTCACCGCTGATGACATACCCGCAATACGTCGTCGAATGGCTTTGGACACAGTGRCTCGYGAGTAGTATGAGCCTGCTGCTGGATATTGTGATTACATGCGGATGGATGTGGGTAACATTAAATTGTTTGTCATGGAAACAGTGTATAGAAGATGACAACCATTGCTCCAAGTTCCTGCCCCTTACCCCTTGTCTTTTACCCCTTATCCCTCACCCTCAAACCCCTTACCCCTTACCCCTTACCCCTTACCCCTTACCCCTTACCCTTGCATGTATACCCATACCCCAAATTCAAATGCATTTTTGACCCTAAATCACCACGGAAATGACAATTTAAATTTCGTTCAAAAACTATAAAATGTCCGTTTTGACGAAATCGCTGTTACCGCACCTTACAGTGCATGGGGTCTTCCACGCATCGAAGCTGGCCATCTACACGCCACCTTCAGTTGACGAGTTTCCCGGACGTCAATCACAGGATCCGCCTTCTATGGACGGACATCAGGAAGCGGACCGAGTCATCACACACCGCAAGTATGGCAACAAGCCAATGCAGTACAAAGTCACATTCAAGCAATGTGCGCCTGACGACACTCGGTGGATCTCTAGTGCAGACTTGCAGACTTCTGCACCCCTTATCTTCGCCAACTATGAGAAGACACGACTTGCCAAGGCAGCAGCTCGTCCCACCCGACCCATCCCAGTATCGGACAGACAACTCCGCCCTCGCAAGTAGCTCGGTCTTTTAAGAGGGGGAGTGTGTTACCTCGTCGACGCCACACGGGTCCTACCGGACCCGACTTAGGGCTAGAGGGACACATCAGGGCCTAAAGGCCCGACCTTGGGGGGTAACAGGCCGAAAGGCCACGACTTGGACCAAATTACGGACCAGGCCCAAATGACATTTCGTTTTGGGCCTGGCGGCGCCGTTTGAGGCTGCCGCTCTCCGGTTGGACCTGAATCGTCGATCTGGACGGTTGAGCCCCAACCAGGGCCTTGCAGCATTGAGGCCGGTCCTCTTCAAACCAGTACTTAGTACTACTGGTCCAGCCTCACTTCGAGGCCATCGACCTATCGGCATTCTACCGGTACGGTATGGTACAGCGCGGAACAGCGCTGGCGCTATGTTTAGAGCAGGAGCGAGGAGCAGTGCAGCGCAGCATCGGAGCAGCAGCAGCGGCGACTGAGTGTACCGGCGGCCATAGCCGCCTGAGGTATCGGGAGTTGGAGGTTTCTCTCCTCCCTCCCATCGCCAGTCCCCTCTCTCTCTCTCCCCTCCTCGGCTCCCTTCTTCTTCTTCTCCTCAGACTCCATCTTCTTCTTCTTCTTCTTCTTCTTCTTCTTCTTCTTCTTCAGATTGGAGACTTATACTAGTTGGACAGAGATCAGGGTTGGACTTCGGTGGTATGAGACTGTGGTACTTACCGGATTGGAGACTTGGAGATTGTTGGGGTTGATACTTGGCGGCATCACARWTCGGACACCGGTTACATTTGGACTCTGTATCTCCGACATTGGTGACTGATTGTCCTCGACATTTTGATCTTGTTGGATGACATTTTGGGCTACCATATCGGTGACCCATCGGATTCTATCTCGGTGACCTATCGGTGCTGTCTACCTCCCCCACCTCCTTCATCTCTCCTCCCACCTTTCATCTGTGTATGTGTGTACGGGATCTGGGCATCGTCTATGCTTGGCCCAGACCCCACCATCTCATGATTGTATGTGTGTGGAGTGATACCTATGTGAGTCAGTCTATGTGAGTCAGTCCGTTTATCAGACTTCCGCTGCATATATGCTCATCCTACATTGGTTGATCTTTGGTTCTGCCCATACTCATTGAAGTATGTAACATACACACACACACACACACACACACACACACACAGAGGTTTTTTCCCTTGATCTTT